ATTTGTAGACTGTAGTGATGGTACATAAGATAGGGGGACCATAGAGCAGCCCCCATTATCAACAGATTCAAAACCAAAGACCCATCTATAGCTTCCGTAGAAACACTACTGTACCAAAATGTAAACTTGTCTATTTTCACAAGTGGAGTCGTTTTCAATTTCAATTCTGAGAGAAACATACAAGGGGGCAATTTTAAGCAATCAAAGATAAAATCAGCTATTTCCAACCATGAATATTAAAGCAAAGTACCCCCCCCCCCTCCCTGGAAGCATTAAAAAAGAAGAGCTATTTTTCATGAATGTATCTCTCAATAACTAAATATGAACCTACACAACATTTTTACTACAAAGGACAACCCATAGTATTTAATCTCTCATCCCTAAGACTAAGAGTATTTTCAATGAAGATGTGTGTATCATTCCTCTTTTCTCTCTCTCTTTTTCTTTCTAATGGTTAGTTATGATTGGTCGGACCTGTGATCGATCTTGACATTGCGGGCTCGCCGAGCGGTGACACGTGGCTTAATTAATCGATTTGCTTACATGCTCCATGTGGCTGCATAAAAAAATATAAAGCTGTTCTGCTTTTTAAACATGGGTTTCTCTAATCAAACAAAACAAATACATTTTATTAAGTCATGGAAAGGATTTATCTTGTTTTGAGAAAAAAAAAATACTTTTCTTGGCTTTGTTTGGGAAGGGATTATGACTTAAGGAGTTCGGGGGGGGGGGTTGTAGTGTGATATTGCTTGGGGCGCAGAAAGTCTTGAAAGGAGAGAAAAGAACATGTAACCATTCCTCTTTTAAGCCAACAACAAGGGAAAATATAATAAGAATAAATTAATAAAAGGGTAGTAGAGAGAGGAGGGAGGAAGGTAATGAAGGGAAGAAACAAAAGAAATTCAGAAATAGTTTTGGGCGGAAAACAAAAACAAGGAGAGGAGCAAAGGAGGTTGAGTTGGGTCACTTTCCACTTAATGGAATGAATGGTGTTGTTAGACATCACATGGGGTTTGGGATAAACTAAGTCCCTACTCTGACACGTCCAAATCATGGTTTTCCTAAACAATTCACACAGGCCTAAGTATGTCCCCCTCCTTCTCTTCCACACAAATATCCAAAATTTCTTTATGCATGGAGACTGAAACACCTCTTCTTTTAGCCTTGTTTCCCATAATGCCCCCTATTAGGGCTTTCTATTCTTGTTTCTTTCTCCTCTTCCAATTCATATGTGTGTAAATGAGAGAGAGAGAAGATTGGACCCCCACTATGACACAAGTAGCTACTGAGATTTATCCATCAATTGTTGCCCAAATAAGTCTCAGGAGAAAAACTTAGTAAAATGACACCAACCATGGCAAACAAAAACATAGTAAGTAAATTGACATGGCCCAAGAAATAATAATAGCAAATGTGGGGAAGATAGGGTTTTAATGAAGTCATTCCTCTTTTGATACAGAGGATTGTCCTACATCATGATTTATTTATTTATTTTTTTGGGTAGAACTACACCATGATTCTCACCCTTATATAGGCTGTTGTTACTCATCCATGTCTGATTTGATTGATAGATACATAAAACCTTATTACAAATCTCATCTTATTATTGTTTTTCAAATTTGGCTTCCAATGGGCGATCTTGAAGAAAGCTCAACCATCCCACATAGCTCCAAAACCCTAGAATCATATCATGCCACCACCACCTTATATTTTGTCTTTGGGAGCAACATATGCGAATGAGTTTTTTAAAGTTATTTGTAGTGCTTTTTTTTTTTTTTAAATCTCCCTCTCTCTCTCTCATGGAGCGGAGAAGTCACACTCCTCACTCCTCACTAGTCATTAGAAGAAGACAAGAGACCATGCAACCTACAGTTTCAGATGGGCTATTTACCGCCCCCACCTCCCAAAGAAATTCTATTCTCGTTCATTTTACGAAGCTTGCCCATTGCAGCAAACTCTTCTTTTTCTTTTACCGGTAAGCAATCGCAACGGGTGGCCAGCCACTCTTTGACCCGACCCACAAACCACCTGACTCCGTTTCCACCTTGTTTTTTTGGTGTTGCCTTGTTTGAGTCGATGCTTTTATATCTGTATCTTCTGGTGTGGACAAAACGGGTCAGAGGTTGGTATGGTGTCTACGGGTGTCAATTATCTCTCAATTCTTGGGTGTGGGGTTGGGTTGGGACTCTCATTGCTCTTTCATCTAACCCGTTTCGGCCCCATCCTCCTTTCCTTGTGTTCTTTCTGTGTTTGGAAGTGTGAACCAGCGCCGATAAGGATTTGAGAGCTCCGTTCCGTCGTTTCGTTTGCGGTTTGCCTCTCTCATAAACCAATTACCAATGGGAAAATTGCAGAATTCACCCCTATTGGTCGAACTTGATCCAACCCGGCCTAACGTGGTTGCCACTGCGTTCAAAGTTCAACCATGATGATGGATCACGTAGCCAGATGACGACACATCACTTAGCCTACGCTAAGGTTGGACTAAGATTAGACTAGACCTACGCTGTTAAAATGAGGCAGAGCCACCACTCTTCCAAAATTATTATTTTGGTGATGGTGAGCAAAGGACAATAGACTATTTAAATGGACCCCACTAGTCCTATCAACGTTTGAAATGGTTGACGATTGACGAAAACTCTACTCCCTCCTTTCTCATGTCTCCTGGGCTCTGCCTCATTTTAACCTACGCTGTTGAAATGAGGCAGAGCCACCATTCTTCCAAAATTATTATTTTGGTGATGGTGAGCAAAGGACAATACACTATTTAAATGGACCCCACTAGTCCTATCAACGTTTGAAATGGTTGACGATTGACGAAAACTCTACTCCCTCCTTTCTCATGTCTCCTGGGCCCTATCCCCCATCCATGATCTGATCCCCCCATTTCGCTCTTTCGTCAATCAATCTCGTCTCACACATTAACACTATTAGAGCTTGATTTTGACTAATTATTACACCCAATTAATTCGACTAATCACTAACCCTTGATTGTGACCCCTTCCAAAAATCAGCACACGGCCCCACCAACCGACCACTCGGACCCATTACGAAATTAGTAACACAGATCGAACAGTCAGAAAGCAAGTGGCTGCCTGGCTGGTGGTCTTGGGTCTTGATTGCTCCGATAGGAATGGTCCGATCGATAGGCTCATATAAGGACTTATGTGGTCTAGTTGCACATTATGGTCACCATCCCCAAAAGATTGCTGATGTGCACAGTGCACCAGAACAACGGGGGCATTTCTGCAATTAAACATTAAAACGAGCTGCTCGATAGGTGTCCCTGCTCTTGTCCAATCAAATTCAGTGCATCCCCTATTTGTTTCTTTTTAATGCATTACATAACTAAACTTTGTAATAACGACCAACTACACTGTTTTCTTTTTTTCCTTTTTTATTTATCTAAAAATAATAAATAAAAAAAAGTGAGTTAAAGACTTAAAAGCGGCCTCTTTTATTAATAATTATTGCTATAATTATTTTAAAAATAATCTCTTTATTTTTTTTTCTTTTTGGAAATCTAAGCAAGTCAGTTTTAGGGAATGGAAAATATGGTCTGGTAGGGCCCTCAGACCCCATTCCCCAAACAAAGGGATTACTAAAGTTGAAGAGAAAAGCTAACTGATTATTATTGTGAGTTAAATTTCATCTCGGAAAATTATCGCGATAGATTCAATAAATATCGCGATAGAAAGGTAAAAACACCTGCACAGGCATTATGATAATCTTTGAGCTTTAACTCAACTTCTGTCACATTAAAAGCTACTAATACAATACCAGCTATAAAGTTCATTGCGGGCTTTGCTGTAAATATAGTCAGATTACAAGGATTTTTCCGTAAAGATGCCCATGACGAAATATCTGGCTATCTGTTCGTAAGAGATACGAGTCCCCATGGCCCCCTCTTGAGTTTTTGACGCAAGGATGACCGTTCGTTTTGTTTACTCATTCAAATGAACGGCAGAGGTGGAGTGGTTACACAAAAAATCGCGTTTGTACAACAATTGAATGGCTACGATGGATCAATCTATCGGACTCAGTAGTGGGGTCTATCTGGGAGGTCTCCAAGGGAAGGTCTAAAAATATCGACCTGATAAGACTGTTCTTCTGACAGAAGAACCATAAAAGGATCGAATGGTCAGGATCATTTGATCAGAACAGCATAGTGTCTCTAGACGCTTGTATATGCGTGCCACCTGACAATGGTGTACTGTCACTGTAAGCTTAGGAGCTAAGCACATGGATTAGACCTAAACGACCAGAGAAAATATCTGAAATGACAAAAAATCCCTTATCTTTCTTAAATGCCAATAAAGCCCCTGCTCGTTACAGCTCCGTACGTTACTGCTTTTATTACTTACTTTTTTCTGGTCCAGAGCAGAAAGAGACGGTCAATCAAAAAAAATAGGGACTTCGCCGCCATTGGTCGAGAAGAATGGAATTCAGAACATGCTACACGACCGTTACATTATAACGTCCTCCTTCAGATCACAGCCACACATCTTCATCTTATCAATTTCTCGTATCAATCAATCACGATAATTTCAAGCTGATCGTTTTGTTTAATTTCGATAACCTGATGCAGAAAGCTCTCAGGTTCAAAATTACCAAATCACCCCGAGGTTATCTGCAACGTGAATAACGACGAATTCGAAATGAATGAAAGAAGCAAGGGTATTCCTGGAATATAGAAACTATGAAAGGTTTCGGGCAGTTCAACTTTTTTTTTCTTTTTCGACGTTATTTATTTATTTTTCTGATTTATTTTAATATAATATACAGCGTGGTTTATTGGGTTCTGAGTCTGTGTAAGAAAAGGAAAAAATATTAAAAGAAAAAGGCACCACAGACCACAGTAGGCTGAGACAAGTGGCAGAAAATCCAGTAGAGAGAGGGAGATAAATGCGTCTAAAAACAAACCACATAAATAAAATTGAAAACAATAACATAAAAAGAAAAATTTTTAGAGAGAGAAAGAGATAGATAGGGAGAGATAGGGAGGGACGCTTTATTACCTTTTTTATGTTGCACGCATCCATGGCAGAACAGAGAAGGGTACAGAGTACTACTACGACACAAGAGAAAGAAGGATAGAGGAGAGAACAAGCAGGGTTAGACAAGGATAGAGAGACAGGAAGTGGGAAGACTAGAGAAGAAATGGAGCTACGGAGATGGAAGAGAGAAAGAGCTTAAAAGAGGGAGAAGAAGATGAGAACAGCGGTTGTTTGTCCGGTGGAATGGGTTTCTTGAGGTGCATGAATCTAAGACAAGTGGAGGTGGTGTTGAAGCTCTATCGAGGGACAATCGCAGGCTTTCAAAAGGGGATGTTTATAGTTTCTTTTAATGGCTGACGCAATTGCTTCGAGGGCCAGCTTGTGCAGCTGTCACTGAATACATCTAAAAGCCCATCTCTGCTGTGCTCTCCTCTTTTGTTCTGCTCTTCTTCCTCCTTTGTATGAATCTGGGCCTTCTTTTAGTTTTTTGGAGAGCTTTGGTTTCTGGGTTTTTTTTTTTTGTTTTTTGAATTTTTAGATGAGGGGGATGCCCTTTAATTTGCAGGGGAAGGGGGTATTAGAAGTTGCAGAGATTTCTCCGATATCTGGAGGGAAGTGGAAGGACAGTAGCTGTCTGGGCAGCGAGCCTACCTCGGTTCTGGATACGAGAAGGAGCCCAAGCCCTCCTACATCTACCTCAACCCTGTCTTCTTCCTTGGGCGGAGGCGGCTCAACCGACACAGCCGGCGTGGCGGCGGTTTCCGATAATCCTACACAGAAATGGCCACCTACCCAGCAGCAAGAGGACAGCTCGGCTGCAGTAGCTGAACCCGGCAGTTGCGTTGGGGGTGGTGGTGGTTCCCGGAAGGACGAATGGGCCTCGGAGCTTCAACCTATTCCGACTGCACTAGAGATTGTTAACGGCGGCGCCACAGGAGTGGAAAAATGTGTCCTTGGAATGGAAGACTGGGAGAGTATGTTGTCGGAATCTGCGTCTTCCCCCAGCCAAGAACAGTCGCTTCTCCGATGGATCATGGGCGACGTAGACGACCCATCTTCTGGTTTGAAACATTTATTGCAGGGTGGGGGCTCTTCGGAGTTCGAAGGCAATGCTGGGGGATTTGGGATCGTCGACCAGGGCTTTGCGTTGGAATCAGTTGGTGGAGGCGCTTCCGTGAGCGGTAATGTAATGGGTACCATCAATCCTTCCCTTGCTTTTCCTGGTTCTATCTGTGCACCAAACAACCTCAATGGCAGGGCTGGCTCAGTCCCCAACACATCTGCGCTTCCTAATTACAAAGTTCCTTGTTTTGGGCTGAATAACAACAGTAACCCTCCCAACCCCATCAATCTTCCTCTCCCTATTTCTTTTCCTCCTGGCATGTTTTTTCAGCAGTCGCAGCAGCAACAACCACAGCTTGAACCCGCTGATGAAAAGCCTCAGCTCTTTAATCCTCCACAAGTGCCGATAAATCAGCAACAAGCCCATCACCCTCAGAACCCGACTTTCTTCATGCCATTGCCGTACACCCAGCAAGAGCAGCACCTCCTCCCTCCGCAACCGAAACGCTACCATGCCACCGTCGACCCGAGCTGTCAGATCCCGAAGGTCCCATTTTCGGATTCGGGTCAAGAGCTTTTCTTGCGAAGGCAACAGCAGCAACAACAACAAGGTTTCCCTCCTCAGCTCCAGTTACTATCTCCTCATCTTCCACAGAGGCCGACGACTATGGCGACAAAGCCCAAGGTAGTGGGTGCCGGCGATGAAGTGGCTCATCAGCATCAGCAGCAGCAGGCGTTGATCGATCAGCTCTTCAAGGCCGCCGAGCTGGTCGAGGCCGGGAATTCGGTACACGCGCGAGGGATATTGGCGCGGCTCAATCACCAGCTCTCCCCAGTAGGAAAGCCTCTCCAGAGGGCTGCTTTCTACTTCAAGGAGGCCCTGCAACTGCTCCTCCTTTCTAGCAACAACATGGCCACCTCCCCTCCTCCAAGGAACTCCACCCACTTTGATGTTGTTCTCAAAATTGGCGCCTACAAAGCCTTCTCCGAGATTTCTCCCCTCCTGCAATTTGCGAATTTCACTTGCAACCAAGCCCTTCTTGATGTGCTTTTAGGCTTTGATCGAATCCACATAATGGACTTTGATATTGGGATTGGCGCACAATGGTCTTCCTTCATGCAGGAGCTCGCAAGCAGGGGCGCTCCCTCGCTAAAGATTACTGCCTTTGCATCCCAAGCGTCCCACGACGCACTAGAGCTTGTCCTCACTAGGGAGAACCTCACCCATTTTGCCAATGACCTCGGCATCGCATTCGAACTTGACATCGTGAACCTTGATTCATTTGACCCTGCTTCCTGGTCGTTGGCACAACTTCATGTGGCGGAGAACGAGGCAGTTGCAGTGAACCTTCCCGTCGGGTCCTCGTCGGCACACCCATCCTCTGTGCCCTCCCTCCTCCGCTTTGTGAAGCAGCTTTCGCCGAAAATTGTCGTCTCTGTGGACCGAGGCTGCGACCGCAGTGACCTTCCCTTCTCCCACCATTTTCTTCATGCTCTTCAATCATTCTCGGTCCTGCTGGATTCTCTTGATGCTGTAAATGTGAACTCGGATGCCGTGCACAAGATTGAGAAGTTCCTGCTCCAGCCAAGAATTGAGAGCATTGTACTGGGACGGCAACGAGCCCCTGAGAAGATGCCGCCTTGGAGGAACCTTTTTGCTTCCGCTGGGTTCTCGCCCTTACCATTCACTAATTTCGCCGAGACCCAGGCCGAATACCTGGTGAAGAGGCTTCAGGTAAGGGGATTCCACGTGGAAAAGCGCCAGGCTTCTCTCATCCTCTACTGGCAACGTCGGGAGCTCGTCTCGGCGTCGGCTTGGAAGTGCTGAGAAGCAACATTTTTTTACGGGCAGGAGGGTCGTTTTTCAAATTCACACTTGTCATGAAGGTGCCACGAAACCTATTACTCTACTCTCATCTTAATAAATCTTCTGTTACAGAGTAGGCACCTCTTCTGTGATGTCATCGTGCATTTTCTTGCCTGTGATTCTCCTCTTCCCCTTGTCTATGTGGTTTAGACAGATTGTTTCCGAGTAAAGCAAAGCATTTGAGAAACCGGAAGGTCTAGTACAGTTCTTTTTCTTCTTTCAGTCTCTACTTTGGATATGGGTATTACTGCTAAGGTGTTCTTAATGTTATGGTGAGAAGCAGCACCTGCTTCGTTAACATGGTGGTGGTTTGTTGTACACTTGAAAACAAGGCAAAAAACAGAAATGGAAAAAGAAGAATTAACCCCCCCCTCCCCCAACTATTTAGTTTATTTCTGTGGATGATACTCTGTCTAGTTCTTATAAATTTTGCTTCTTAAATTTCATTCATGGATTCTAATCTTCTACTCCAGGTGGAATTGCTTTGTACCATAGTTCTCACATTAATACTGATTGTCGGTTTCTCTGTGATTACTATGTGTTTATTATAAGTAGGTGAAACTGTCCTTTTGGGTACTTTGCAGCTCCCTCCAAATTGAAGCACACACCATTTAAAACTGGGTTCATCTGGTACTCCATTCTTTCCATGGATGATAATGTGAAAACATAAACTGTGTTGCTGATCATATATATGTAGTCAACAATTTCTTTGTGGCTTGATGCTCTCCTTATGAGCTTGAGGTTGTTTAGTGAAATACTTGTGATTCTCGTTGAGTTCTATAAGTAGGAGTTGTTTCAACTGTTTCTGAAATCGATTGCCTATATGCTAATGGATTTTCTGGTTTAATTGGTATGGTTGTTTGTTATATGCCGTTTGTGTGCTTCCTTCTTTAGAAGCTCCTCTATACCAATCAAAAAGAGAAAAGCTACCACTAGAGTCAGTAGTCAGTCCCAGGAATATCAATATCCATGCCATTTGCATCTACTTTCTATATTGTCACAGCACTTCGTAAATTCTTGCAATGGGATATTGATTGGCCTGCCCATATGTGATTGTGAAGAATTTCCTTTTCTCTGCAACTGATTTATGTGAAAGCCTGAAAGGTGAAAGACTGAACTAAATTAGAAGAAAAAAAAATTATGTGAAGGATGCGGTTTCTAAAGCTATAGGTCCTGGGCCCGAACTAGAGTCCAGTCACCATCTCCTTTTGGTTGGGTGGTGGTGCTCTATGCCAAGAACATGCTCAAATGAAATTATCTATTTTCATGTGAGTTTGATGGTTGTCTTTACTCTTCACAAGTGGTCCTTTTGGTGAAATCAATTTTGTTTGCAATGAAACATACTCATCAGGGTTGCCCTTTTTCTCAACTAATTGCTAACGGAGGTGAGCATCCACCAAAAAATTTACAAACTGAGATGGATCCTTCCTAGAAAAAAAAATATGGTCTGGAGTTCTGGATTATCGTGTTTGATTTGAAGAACTTCTAATGCTTTTATGTTTGCTTCTCCATTGCATATTACGTGTGAGTTTAATTAACCCTTCTTTGTTATCAATTCATTTTCTCCATCATTGTCTCCAACAAACCTTTGGCCTTGATTATCTGTCTGTATAGCAGGTTTGTTCCTTTTTAAAATAGTCGTTATCCGGGACCAAACACTAAACAATTGAAGATAAAACCTCCAAGTAGATTAAATAAACTGTGTTAAAGGTCTACAAGCTGCCTTTGTATTAAATCCAATCAATAACCCAGTTGTAGTCAAAGCTTGGCATATACGCATGATAATTTATAAACCCCCAAAAACTCGATCTGCAACTGCAAGTATGATTGGTATCGGTTAACAATCTTTTAGCTTATGTGTGGTCCTATTTGTGGTGCAAATATAATATTCACTTATTTTTATACATGTATGATAAGCTGCAAACACTTGTGCTATTCTACATTGAATTTGCTATAGTTGTGGATAGTTATTGTACCTCTCTCTCAATCAATCCACATGCCTCATGTTTAAATTAAGAGCTTTTGCTTTCCTCTTCACCTTGTAATCTCTAAATTTTTAACAGGAAAACAAAAAGCTAATGAGGAGACCATATTGCAGGTGGGTATACAAGTCTTAATAGTCTATGCCAAAGTGAAGCAAAAATTATAAATATTTCGAGAAATAAAAAGGAAATTACATGAGAACATGCCGAGTATGGACAAAGACGTTGATCAATTATATCTTATTCTGTTCTCCTCTGTTCGGTTTCTTTTCTTTTTTGTCTGGGGCAAAAAGAAAACAAATATAACACGTCGGTTTCATTGAAAACGAACGTCTAAAATCCCTGCAAACAACAACCTCGATAATGGTGGGATATAATATTTGCCTCAACCATCATGCTTCATTCATCCTCTTTGTTTAGTTTACAATTCTAAGTTGTCTTTCTGGTTTTCTAGATGGGTAAGATTGGATTAGTAGAAAAGCCCTAGCTCAGTAGCCCCGGCCAGAGAAACCGAACAAAAGGATTAATTGAAAATTGAAATCAAGGGGTTTTCTACTTTTTCTATCTTCTTCCTCTTTATTTTAAAACGGTGATGAGGTCAGTCAAATCCGAACGCAGATGGTGACAGGATTTCTTTATGGGCAGCCCACTCAAGTGATTTTGAGAGAATGGGTTTTGAACTTTTCTATAAAGCCTTGGATACAAAAGCTAGTGACCACCATCCTTGTTGTAGGTGTCCATGTGGTCCAGCCCATCCAATAGATTTGTTTGGGCCCACTTGTTGTCACTGTTTTATAAAAATTATAAAAATGTAAACCCTGATGATCATCTGATCAAACATGGGTTTCTCTTTCAAAGTCATGTTTGACTCAATTCATGATGCAATTCAAATATTTTTTCCTTCTGAACCCTCTCTCTCTCTCTCTCCAAAACAAATAAAAAAACTAACATTATGAGATGCATAATGCATGGGTTGGATCACCTTCATACTAATATTGTCCCATTCATGAGCCCTTTCTTACTAGGGGCTAGGGCAAATGTACCCCATCATAATAATCATCACCACATCTCCCCATCTATCTTATTAGCTTTGACTTTTTGGTTTTACTAGTGATGGTTAGATGGTAGTAAAGAAGAATATGCTAATAGAACCCCCTAACAAACATTAGTAATTTGCCTACTCCATTGAGAGGTGATTAGGACGTTTCTATCATCAAATCAATCACTGCCTTACACGTGTCTAGTGTACTAGGTGATGATGCCCCACAGCCACAATCGATGGGCAACCGTGGTTGCACTTGGAGGGGGAGACTGGCTGGCTTATGCATGACCCAGTGTCATCCCTATTGCAATAGTTATTGGGCAGTGAGAAGAAAATGACAAGAGATCTCTCCCCAAGCACCCAAGTTGTTGGTGGGCACCCACCCATGAATGGTTGGTCACAATCAGGTTGTATGCCACGTGTACGGCAGCTGCAGGGAGGATGGGCCCGCATGACTTGAAATTCACCATATGTGTCCAAGTATTACGTGATACGTCCAAACTGTGTTGAGCTCCGTACTTTGGGCATTGGGACTTACACTTTTAGTGGGGGATTGAAATTGAACGTAATGTGTTGTTGTGACCGGCCTCACATGACGAGACTGCTTCTGCCAACACTGGACTTCTGGACTGGACCCACCAAAGCTAAGCAATTAGTCCGTCAGCTTACGGGTTTGGAACATTATATTTATACACAATCAACCCAATTAAGTTCTTAATGTAGTATGATTGTATTCACTCACCAAGCTAAACAAATGTTTTTTATATTTGCTAGCTTTGAAATTAATAGACAGAGAATGGGAGGAAGAGAAGGGAGAGGGCGGTAGGGACAGAGGGGACAGGGGGTACCCCAGCAATGAGGCCATCCCTCCAATAGTCCACAATGTCCCTTGGGCAGTTGGGCTTCATCTCCCACGCCCAAAGCGGAAAAGTAACTCAGACGCGTTGGATGATTACAACCATTCGACCCATGATGATCCTTTTAGTTTTGGACTCTTGTAGACAGTTTATTACTTGTCCATGGATCGAAGACGACAGTTGATTGGAATTGGATGGTCACCATACTCCAACCGGGTCTTGGATGTGGCTAAAGTAGGTTTTTTGTACACTGTAGCCCGGATTTGTCCTGTGAGTAGTAGTCGGTCCAAAACGCTAACCCGGATCGAAACTGCCATTGACTATTAACCTGGCCCGGACTCTGCACTGGCTTATCCAGGCTCTTATGCTACAAGCCTCCTTAATTGTGTCGGTGGCACCAAATTCAATCAAATTCAAATTGGTTTAAGCATGAAAGGGAAAAGGGATTAACCAACCAAAACCCCGAAAGCAGAGTGTTCAGTACTGGATCAGGTCAAATACTCAGCAATAGCTATATATAGTTGGCAAGATTATCGTTTAACGACTATAATTGAGAAGTGAGTCGTGGCCATGACGATTTCAATCTTAATGGGTCCCTCTGCAAATTAATGGATTTTCCTCAATATTGATGAGCTTGTTGAAGCAACCAACAAGCGCATAGCTAGCATATCGACTCTCTGCTCAATTATTCACTCGAAGCTAGCTAAGGCGTGCTTGCCCAGGATTTCTTATTGATTGTTGATGCTATCTATATATGATCGATTTTGCTTAGCTATCCTTCTGTATTCTTCTTTTTTGTGTACAGTAATGTAAAGCCAATTTGATAGACAAAGACAAAGCATGGTGGTGGGGGGGTTGAGGATAAGAAGGGATATGACCTAATACATTGCTACCTCTTTCTTTACACAGTCAAGTTTTCCCATCCCAAACAAATACTCAGCCAAAAATTAATCTTTTATGTGCTTCTTTTTCTCTTTGTCTTCTAAAAAAAAATTCTTTCAAGTGTGTTGTTTAAGCCACACTTACAACTTAGCAATGAGGGGTCACAAGCCACCATTTTAATCTTACTGAAACACGAAAAATCAAGGTTGAAGCAAAGCAAATACTTATAAAGTGCCTAGTTAGTAAGTTTGCACTTTATTGACCAAACTAATCTATCTATCTATCTATCTATCTATCATGATGCATGGTAGTACACACGTGATTAATAGAGATGCAAGGTGATGGGTCGTTCAAAGGGTTATTTTGTTTTTCTTTATTATCTTCATTGTTGATGTTGTTACAGTTTTCATTTGGTACATGAAGTGGAAGGCTTTTGTATTGTACCTGCAACCCCAAGAATCATGATCCTGACAATCTTGGATTCTTTTTAATCTCTCTCCCTCATACTTGGTCAGAAATCAAGTCGATTTGATTCCCGCTTTTTCTTTCTATTATTTCAGACCACCTCAAGTTGGAACCGGATTTCTGCATGTTGGACTACAACTCAATTTGTTTTTCACTTTTCAACCATGATTTTTTTTTTTTTTTTCCTGCGGTTTCACTTTGAGATTCCAATTTCGGAACTTGGGAAGGTTCCAAGAGTACACATTAGTTTTACTTTTACATGAACTCAACAAAATTATTTTGTTTTGGCCCCTCTCCCTCATT